AGCCAAACTCAACTAACCTGTCCCCTACCCTGCACTGTCCTTTGCTCCTCTTGTACCCTTTACTTGCAATTTCCTCCCACCACCTTTGTTCTCTCCACTTAGCTTGGTGAATTTTTCTTCCCCATCTTTGAAAAGACAATCCCCTCCAGAAAGCCTTCCCTGCTGTCTTTGGTTGGTAAGAACCATTGTCCTGAGAGAGACCTCATGCAACACTTGGTTTTGCAGCTTTCTGCTACAGCAGTATATAATAATGTGTGTGTATCTATGTGGGGATGTATACTTTACAGGAGGAAGATAAAACACAAACACACAACACTCTTGTGTCCATGTTGTCTCTCCTGCTAGCACTGCCCTCTCTCGACACCTTTGCTTCCTAGAATCCTGTGTCTCCAAAACTCATTTCAAAATGTCACCTCTTACATGAGATCTTTCCTGATGCCCCCAAATACCTTGCGTTGATTATATATGTAGCTCATATGAGGCAGCATAGCATAGTAGATAGAAAGCTGACCTCAGATGCCAGGAGGGTTTGGGTTCATCTTCTGCCAATGACCCATAGTGGTCATGTGACCCTGGGCAAGTCACCTAAACTGAGCGGTACTCTAGGCAACTCTCTAAGGTACTCAATTGCACCAAGGATGCCAACCTGCATTGGTGGAGGCAGTTTCCTCACTTGGAAGTTCCTGTACCAATGACCTCACTTGGAAGTTCCCTGTACCAAGGTTCAGTCCACATTCCCAAATTTTGTATATATTTACAAGTGTACATCTCATAAACTATAAGCTGCCTAAGGACAGGAATGGATTTATTTATATCTTTGTATCCCCAATGCCTGGCACACATAAGGTATTTAATAAATGCTTATTGGTTGATTTTAAAACAGATAAAAATCACTAAATTTACTAAATAACAAATAAGTAAATTAAATAAATGAAACAAATAATGTCATTTTCTCTCTCTTGACAACATGCTTTTTGCACAAGGTGGACAGGCATACAAGGAGAGGAGAGAATCCAGACCGATGGTTTATCTCTAGATATCAGTTGAGTGACAGGAAGTTCAAATGGAATTTCTCTCAACTAAATGGGAATGACTCCAATTATCCCCCTGGTCTCCTTAGTTCTCATTAAACTAGGAAGAGATTTTCAGAGTATTTTGTGACTCACAAAGTTGACCCAAGAGGATCTTCCTACCTAGGAAGGCTGTATTCAGAGCTGGCTGTCACCAAGCTAAAAATAAATAAATCACTCCCAGGGACTCAGTAAGAGGATGTTGGTGACCTAACATATGAAAGGGAGGCACATTGAGAAGATTGAAGACTTCACTTCTAGGCACCATCCATATTCATGGCACATCTTGGGGACCCTCCCCCATTAGACCTACCCAAGCAATGGAACAGTTAATGGTTCTGGTACCCTTAGCGATACAGGGATCTCAGAAGCCAACAGGTCTAACTCCTTCATTTTACAAATGAGGAAACTGAGGCCCAGAGAGGGCAAGTGACCTGCTCAAGGTCACACAGTTAGCAAATGCCAGAGGGAGGATTCAAACCTAGGTCCAGTCACCTAACCACACTGCCATGTCTTTTTTCACCCTTAAGTTTTGAATCAAGTGAGTGATGGGTAAACCATTCCACCATGTGCCCACTTATTGTGCCCTCTGATTCCCAATGGGGGCAATCAGAAGAAAGAGACGTTGGCTACAGCACCTGCTGTGGCTGCTGCTGTCCACCTTGGAGAGGGAAGAACTGGGGGGGCAGATCCTGTGGTCCATACACGCAGACTGGATAGTACTGAACCATCTATTTGGGAGAGATCAAACACATTCTAATTAGAAGACTAATAAATCCAAGCTGTTAGTCTTTTGATACTGAAATAATTGTAAAGGTACATTTATGCACTCTAGGGATCTTGTAGGGGGAGGTGGTGGCATGCAAGGGAAAGATGATTAAGCCAAGAACCTCAAGGGATGGTCAGACTGTATGTACCAGAGGAGGCTGGGCCATTAGTTTACATGTAGCTCTGAGCACGGATTTCATGTGCTTGTGCCTCAGTTTCCTCATATGTAAAAATGAGGGAGCTGGCTCAGATGACCTTTAAGAACCCTTCCAGCTCCCACAGTCTTTCATTCTATGTCTCCTACAACAAAGTCACAGCGTGGAAAGCATCTCAGCGTATCCCCAAGTCTTGACAGACAAGAGTGTCCAAGAGAAGCCCTGATGTGGGGAGGCAGAAGATTAATGGTTACAGGTAGGGAGGGAGCTTCAGGTGTCAAGAGGCATAAATTCAACTCTGATTCAACCACTGAATTTTATTGGAATGACGTGGTGCAGGTGGTGGGGTGGTTTCAGGGGTGAGATAACTTAATTTCCTTGAGGCTAAGTTCCTTCTTCACCAGACTAAATCCACTGGCTGGAAAATGGCGCCACTGATGATGTAACGTCCTCTGGGAGGCTTTGTGGGAAAGGATGCCACAAGTGAGATTTGCTGGAGATAGCTTAGGCAATTGTTTTTATGGGTCTGGAGGAAAGCACTCCCTCCCTGCTTGCTCCAGCAAGAGTTGTCTGTCAATCATTCAATCTACAAGCATTTATTAAGCACCCCTTACATGCCAGGCACCGTACTAGGCACTGGGAAAGCAAAGACAAAAAAAAAATAGTCCTACCCTCAATGACTTTACAGTTTAGCTAGAGGAGACTCCGTGTGCGTGTGTGTGTGTGTGTGTGTGTGTGTATATACACACACACATATATGGTACAGTGCATAGAGCACCGGGCCAGGAGTCAGAACTCAGAGAGACCTGAGTTCAAATTGAGCTTCAGAGACTGATTAGTTGCGTGACCCTTCACCTCAGTCTGACTTAATTTCCCCATCTGTAAAATGAAGATAATAATTGCATGTACCTCCCAGGGTTATTGTGAGGATTAAATGAGGTAATATTTGGAAAGTGCTTTGCAAGCCTTAAAGTGTTGCATAAGTGCTATTATTATTATTTACATACAAGATAATTTGGGGGTGGGGGAGATACTAACAGCTGCGAGGAAGCAACAGGACAAAAACCAGTTTGACTGGACTGGATTGTGTATGGAGGGGAGCAATGTATAAAAATAAAAATAATAATAATAATAATAACTACTAGTATTCATGTAGTGTTTTAAGGTTTGCAAAGTGCTTTACAAGTATCATTTCATTTGATCTTCAGAATAATCCTGGGGCATAGGTGCAATTAATATCTCCATTTAACAGATGGGGAAACTGAGGCAAACTGAGGTTAAGTGACTTAACCAGGGTCTCAACAGCTAGCTAGTTTCTGAGGTGGGATTTGAGTTCAAATGTTACTGACTTTGGGCCTAGTGCTACCTAAGCACATTAATAACAACCTTCAAATGAGTGCAGCTTTTAAGACGGAATGGAATAATTACAGCTCATATTTACAGAGTGCTTTAAGATTTTTCTATAATACAACCACACTCTAAAGAAGATAGTTTAAGTAATACCATTCCCATTTTACTGTTGAGAAAGCTGAGGCTCAGATATAAAGAGACTGCCTTACAGTGACCAAAGTCACACACACATTGACGCAAGTGTGTGAAACAGGATTTCCTGACTTCATCTCCAACACCTTTCCCTTGTGTTAGGCTTTTCCTTTACGCTCAGATTGATTTACCCAAGTTTATTTCGTTTTGTTGACTCATATCAAGCACTGAACACAGTGGCATTGGAGGTAGCTGTGGTAGGTTACTCTGATCTGCTTTAATTTTTCTTATTTTCTTGTATTTTGGGCTGTCTGAACTCAACATACAAAATTAGATCCAAGTGGGAGAGAAGGGAAGAGAGAGCACCTACTATGTGCTACTGACCAGACACCATGTGCTAAGTCCTTTACAAATACTGTCTCAGTTGATCCAATTAAAATAAGAATCTTGGAACTTCTTTTGAAAAAGAAAGGAAAGAAAAGTAACATCAACATTTCAGGTAATGTTTGGTAAATTCTTTAAGTCCCTTAATCAGAGATAACCAGTTCATTCTCCTGAGCTGGGAAGCTATAATTCAGTCTGTGGGCCCTCCCTTATTAAGTGGGCAGGACCATTGGTCATTTCCTTTTAATTAATTAAAAAATTAAATTAAATCATTTTATTTTAATTAATTTTAGAGGGGTCATTTCTCCTAAATGTTTGTAATAAAGCTACAGAACAGAGCTAAGGGGAACTAACTTCCTGCCTCACAAAATGGCCATTTCTTGAGATCAAAGGCCTCTACTGCTATGTCTCCCCCAACAGCAATTTGGGAGCTTTTCATCTGAAAAGTATGCAAGGACAAAATTGCCATATTCAGTGAGGGAGCCGCCCATGTCGTACCAGCACAATTGGTCACCCTTTCCAGTGTGGGCTACAAGTTTTGTTGTTTGGGGTTAGATTGGCAGGCCCAGGCAGCTAGGTAGCATAGGAAGATTTCAGGTACTTAGTAGAAATGTAACCCTGGGCAAGTCACTTAATGTCTGCCTGCCTCAGTTTCCTCAACTGTCAAATGGAGATAATGATAGCACGTACCTCCAAGGTTGTTGTGAGGATCAAATGAGATAATATTTATAAAGTACTTAGCACAGTACCTGGCAAATAAAAGGTGCTTAATAAATGTTTCTCTCCTAGAAGTGAGAAGAAGAAAATTGACCTTTTTGACCCCCAACTGCAGTCACATTTTTATTTACCTACCTGTCCCCAGACTTGGGGGAATCCATATGAAAAGTAGCAGGGTATAATCTGTTAAGATACCAAGAATAGAGAATTAAACTTAAAATACCAGAGACACTGGAGCAGAGCATTGCATTTGGAGGCAGGAGAGCTGTGTTTGAATCTCATCTTAAAAGTCAGGAAGCACCAGCTTAAGCTTCCATGCTGACTGCCTTAAAGATCATTGGCCATTTTTGACATATAGGATTTTCCTTTACTAATTTTTTTCTAAAATGTTTTATTTTCAATCACCCAACTTGGAGCTAGGCTCGCATATTAGCTGACATGAATTATAGTTGTGCCAGATTGGAATAAACTACGTGGAGACATCCATTGTCTCTGATGATTTTAGCTGGATGAATACCACTTGGTAACCCTTGCTCTACATCCATGTGGCTCTATTAATTTTCCCAATGAGGGGGAACCTCTTTTCATGAAGTAACAAAGAAGTACAACTTCCTTGAAGAGTCAGAAGTGGGGGTTACTGGGTCTGGAGCACATTCACTTGAGATGGGAGACACGGCGGCAGCAGTGGTACAAGGCTGGTAGATCACTGGTACAGGTTGGGATGGGGCAGCCCATTGCCCATCTAGCTGCTGAGATTTTGAAGGGAAGTTGAGTTCCAGGAGAGGGGTGTTATGGGGACAGGACTTTGCAGAATAGCGGTCAATGGGGTTGGTTATACTGTAAAAGCCTCTGGATGTTGGCACCCTGAGACAAAGCCCCATTAGCCCCATGCTAGTTATGGTTCTGCTTACTTGATAAGTATCCTGCTGGTTCTGCTGAAGTGTCTGCAGCTGGGAAGGTTCCTGCTGGATCGCCTGGGTTCTCTGAGCCAACTTAACCTGACCTGGGAGAGGTGTCTGGTTTGGGACAAGTCCACCAAAATGACCTAGAGATGACCATGAAGTCTGGGGAAGTCCAGGTGTCTGAGTCCGTGGCTGCAGGATTCCAGGGAGAGGGAAAATCAGTGGATTCGCTGGTGCCTGCTGGGGTAGGGATGGGAATGAGATAAAAACTGGTGTTTCTCTTAAGTTATAGTTCTCTTCCATTTGTAACGTGCTATTAAAAAGCTTTCTTTTGCACATCAACAAAAATTTGGGGATGGGCTTCTACAGAACCCATATGTTTCACCCAAGAATCTGATTTCTTACCATATAATAGATCATGGAAATGGAATAAGTTCTATTTGAATCAGCTATGGTCATGAGAAAGAGTACTTTTGTTTTCAGAAAAATGATTAGTATTACTGAGTGGTGAATACATGACTTTAAAAACTCAGATTGTTTTAATAATCAATACATTTAATAATCCTAAACTGGGTTTCACTTACCCCCCAAACCCCACCCAGGGATGTGAGAAGCTTATTAAGGAGTTATTTTTGTAAATAACTATATAATCTTCTTGAATTCAACTTATTCCTTTATTCCATTTCTTATGTGCAATACATGATAAATTCCATAATGTATTTCCTTTCATTTTGTTGGTATGGGAAGGTTTACTAAAAGTCAAGAGGTGAAGGGACCAAAGAAGCTTGGGACCCCTAATCTAGACCTTCAGAAACAGGATTGTAGAAAAGAAATGAGCATTGCCTCATCTACACAGGAGGGGGATCGACAAAGGATGGTGGAGAAAAAAGGAAGTGAGAGTCTTCCATTGAAAGCAGTTGTGGAGATAACTACCTGGAAATTCCGAAGCCTGGCATTGTTCAGACCCATCAGTAACTAAGGAAGGAAAGGAAATTGGAAAACAGATTACTGCATAATTATCACTGCAAATCCAGTGTGAATCATGTCTGTTGAGAAGAATTTTATTTCAGAATTGAGGCCAATTCTCACTGGAGTTATAGTTTATCAAATAGTCATGGAACTAAAGGATGGGGAGATATGTACTGAGTATAAGTACTGTCCATCTACCCATGATTTCCCTTCCCTCCCCTGCAACACACACACACACACACACACACACACACACACTCACACACACTCATGCACACACCCACCCACACAAGCACACACACTCACACACATGTGCACACACACACACACTCACACACACACACGCGCGCACACACACACACACCCCCGTAACACTCCACCTCCTTCATTTAGTGAGAGATTGCTCCCAGTGTAAGATTTATTGATTGAATTAATACCAAATACTTATTAAGCTTTTACTCTATGCAAAGCATCTTCCTTAGCGCTCTTAGGAAGGAAAACAGTATTACATATTGGGGAAAACAAAGTAGCTGAAAACAATATGGTGTCACATGGGCCAAGCAGAAAATGAATTGGAAAGGTCTTAAGGACCAGATCCAGGAATGTAAAATTAATCATTTAGATTTCACATTTCTTGAATGTTGAAGAGCATGGTATTTCCCCTCTAAGATTTCTTAAATAAATGGAGCAGGTAGAATTCTCCTTTCTCATTGCCTGTCCCATCTTCACTGCCACTCCCTTTCATTAAAAACAGCATTCTTCAACACTCTTCTAAAATCGTA